TAGTTAAAAGACTGCAGGCTGACTATATCTCCAGTCTCTGAGTTGATGTTAATCATTGTAGACAGCGGGACTAATTTATTATCACTGACTAATGAATAGCTCAACTGACCATTTTCACTAACGTCAGCATCTGTTGCTGATATTGCTTTCAAAACCGTCCCAACTGGACTGTTTTCTTCCACATACATATTAATAACAGTCTCTGAAAACCTAGGTGTGTTGTCATTTACATCAGAAACCTGAACAATAACCACGCTAGTGTTAGAGAGAGGGGGCCTACCTTCATCCGTAGCTTTGATAGTGATATTGTAGTGGGAGATGAGTTCCCTGTCTAGAGCTCCACCGATAACTAATGAATAATAATTTTTATAATTTGTCTCCAATTTAAAGGGAACCGAATTCAATATCTCACATTTGACTTCACCGTTTTTGCCCCCATCTCTGTCAAGAACAGAAACAAGTGCAATAGCAGTGCCAATTTCAGCGTCCTCCTTCACTGTACTAAGCAGTGACGTCACTGTGATGTCAGGCGCATTGTCATTCAGGTCCACAACCTCCACTAGTACCTTACACTGTGCTGTTAATGGAGGCTGGCCTTTGTCAGCAGCCTGCACACGAATTTCAAAGGCAGGATTTGTTTCAAAGTCAATTTTTCCTTTAACGGTTATTGTTCCTGTTTCTGAATCAATGTCAAAAATGTCCAAAACATGGTCTTGATCTTTCGAATTTAGTAGATATACAATGTCTTTGTTTATCCCCTCATCAGCGTCAGTTGCAGTCACTGTTATTACTGTACTGCCAAGCGGTGCATTTTCTGTAATACTTGTTTTGTACAATGTTTTTGTAAAGACCGGGATATTATCGTTTATGTCCAAGACATTAATGATTATTTCTGATGTGCCTGATTTGGGAGGTGTTCCTCCATCTACAGCGGTGAGCGCCAGTTTAATTAAAGCCTGTTTTTCTCGGTCTAATGCTTTCTGAAGAACTAACTCGGCTGACACACTCTCTCCTTTGTGCACCGCTAAAGAAAAATATTCATTGGGATTTAGCTTGTATGTGTTAATACTGTTTTTACCTACATCGGCATCGTAGGCCGACAGCACAGGGAAGGTAGCTCCCGGCAGTATGCTCTCTGCTATGTCGATAGTTTGTGATTTGGCACTGAAAGAGGGGGGGTTATCGTTTACGTCAAGAATATTAACTTCAATACGGTAAAGCTTCAGTGGATTATTAATCACAGCCTCTACATTTATCGTGCACTTAGCAGCTTTCGCACAAAGCTCTTCTCTGTCTATTCTTTCACTGACGTAGAGAAAACCTGACTTTAAATTTACATCAAAATACTTTCTCTTTGATCCAGTAACGATCTGAAACATACGTGACTCCAAATCCTGTACATTGAGATTTAGATCCTTGGCGAGATTTCCAACAGAAGTCCCCAGGTTTACCTCCTCTGAGACGGAATAGGAGAGCTGCCCGGATACCGCTCCCCAGTTATACTCCAAGACAGCAAGCACTAGATATATCCCGAATGAGGTCTTTCTTCCTGGCCGATGCATAATTCCACAAAACGAGAACAAAGCACATAACCTTATATCGACGAGCAGTTTGCTTGTTAAGGCCAAACGATCGCTTGACGGACGAAATTATATGTCGGTATATTTTCTATATCCATTCCCCTCCGCCCCGCGTCTCATTCTAACAAAGCACTGGCAAAATGATGATCCTTTTAATGTGGGAGGGGCCTCTACAAATCAGCAACCCGCTGGTGGTGTTACGGTCTATAGTGCCGCCTCATGGTCATTTGGTATGACTACAAAACTTTGAAATAAACACAGTCAAACATGATTTTTGATAGAGAGCACAGGAATTGCAATGATTCCAGTCAGTAATAAATGACAAAAATGACAGCTTCTGCATTACTGAGTGTACTGCCATGCCCTTATAACAAAGCAGTTCAATCGCCACATACTTCAGAACCATGGATAGAGCATTGTAATGCCGATACAGTACAGCGGGGTATTCAAAGCACACTTGAGTAGAAACAGTTTGTAAGAATACCCAAAAATGGTTGATCCAGCAGTGAAGTGTTTGACCTTCTTAAAACCAGTACAGTATATTTACAAAAAGCACGTGGTCTATGATTTCAAGACCAACATTCAAAGGCGATTCCTATACAAAGGACTATTGGCAGAAGGATTCACAAGTAAGTATAAAAACTAACGGAAATATATTGCTTTTCTTTTGTCAAATATACATCCAAAACATGAAGTGTTAACTGATGCACGTTGTCAAAAGTAACAAACTGTTTTAATACATTTCCAAAGCTGTGCACGTGAATTGGTTTTAAATGTGAAGTATTCATTAAAGTTAATGAAGCCTTAACAAGTGAATATAATGGCGTATTAAGACTTTGACTAGACGTGAATAAAATCTACAAATGCGCAGAAGCAAACTTATGCCCATTCAGTAAAACAAAGACAGATGGAAACCCTCTTAATACGTTTCAAAATAGGAGCTACCATCATAACTCAACTAAAGACAATAATTACGTTTGAATCATCTTACCTTTTCTTTATTAGGTAAAGTCTGAGTCCGTGTAAAAGTGTCTCCTCCATTAATACTGATCAG